TCCGCGGCCCGGAGGGGGACAGCGAGTGGGCGTCGGGCCCCAGAGCGGCGAGGGTCCAGCGTGGGGTCCGGCTTGCTGGGATTTGGCCCCGAGGGAAGAGACTGGAAAGGAATGCTGGGGGGAGGGGGCAGCGAGGCCGGGGGAGGACTGGAGCCTGACCTGCCTGTGCCTCAGTTTATCTCCCTGTAACCTGCGATGCAGGCCATCAGGGAAGAGGGCCGGCCCGGGTGGAAGCTTCTCGCACTGGGAATATTTAAAGACAGGAAACCTGACTTGGGCGGGGTGGCGGGTGCCTTTTTTTTTTTTTTTTTAAATCTCCGAAGCGGTGCTGTGGCAAATAATAAGCCTGTTTCTTTGGGCTCAAGGTGAGAATTAGGTAACCACATTTAATTTCAATACTGGAAAGAATTTAATCTGTGACCAGCAATTGTACTTCTTGGAATTAGCATGCAGATACACTGGAACACGAATCCAAAGGATAATCATGCTCCATTGTTTGTAAAAGTATCAAGACTAGTCTTAAGGTCCATGAGTAGGGGATTGAGTAAATAAATTATGGTGCATCCATAAAACAGCTTACTATAGCAAGAGAGAGACCCAGGAAGATAAAGATGTAGATACAATTTAGATGTAGACCTGTGAAAAGGGGGTGATGGATCATACATATATAATGCTGGCATATGCACATATGAACTGTGGAAAGAGATCTGGGAGATGTGGGGGGGGGGTTAAGATAATGCATTTTCACTGTATGTTCTTTTAAAAAATATATATTTTATTGATTTTAGAGAGGAAGGGAGAGGGAGAGAGAGATAGAAATATCAATGATGAGAGAGAATCATTGATTGGTTTCTTTCTGCAGGCTCCCTACTGGGGATGGAGCCAGGCATGTGCCCTTGACCGGGATCGAACTTGGGACCCCTTCAGTCCGCAGACTGACGCTCTATCCACTGAGCCAAACCGGCTAGGGCTTTAATGTAGTATTTTCAAAAACCAATACATGTATTACCTTTTCAAACAATGTATAGGAATGTAGGAGATCCAAATATGCCACCCTCAAAATATGCCACTTTCTAAGGATTATTTTGAGCTGAAGGCAATTGAGAAATAGACACAGACTCTGCCCTCACCCAATAAATTTCCCTTATTAAGTCCCCCCCTACCCCTACTCCCCAGGGAAGGCAGAAAATAATCATAGGAGACAATTCTAGACTCTTATCAGTGAGAGAAAATCTACATAACAAATCTTGCTAAAAAAAAATCTTTATCTTCCATTAATTTCTGCCACTATCTACCTTCCCACAGCATGCCCCCTAAAAAGCCTAAACCCCTTTCCATTGTCTTACCACTTCTCTACAAATTTAAAGTTTACCAGCCTTGATCAATTGGTATAAAAGCCTCCATGCTTGGCCAGTCACTGAACCTAACAGGAGAAGACAACCTTTCCTCTCCTACAGGGGACAGAAAAACACATCGAGTTTTGACAATCAACAGGTAATTATGGGAGGGGCTGTTTGGGTGGCAGTGAGCCCCCCACCTTAGAAGAGATGTTGCTGAGGTGGAAAATAGGAGTAGAGGATCTCAAAGATGTGCTTTCCTCCAACTTTGCCACCTAGAGGAGGCACACTGAGCCACCTGGGGTTAAAAACACAGAGATGGGCCGGATACCGCATTTGGGAGGACTCATGCTTGCAGGTCAGAAAATGAAAAGCTCTTCAGCTGCTGGCTTGACCCAATGTTCCTGACATCAACATGCTCACAGAATGTAAACAAGTATCAGACAAGGCCACTGCTTATTTGGAACAAGGCAGACACACAATGATTCAACAACTTCCTCTTCTAACATGAGTGGGTCCTGCTTTTTTTTTCTTCTCTTTTCCTTTTTCAATGACAATTCTGGCCCTGCTTTACTTAATCTTCTTACCTCCAGGATAAAAATTAAGATGACTAATCATCAAATTGTCCCTGTTTCTTGACTGTGTCCAATTCAAAACAATTCCCCACTTCCTTAAACCATCCGTAGAGTATCCAAATCCTAACATAAACTCTTTCCAAGTCCCTTTTACCAAGATTCCTCAGTTTCCCTGGTGTGTGTTCTCTCTTAATGAACAAGCTGAATAAATCTTTTTGGTAACAGGGTTTTAAGAGCTACCTGGAGGGTTCCGTGGTCCTGAAGCAACCTGCCTGGGCAGGTGTTTGTGGGGAGGGGAGGAGATAGGCTGAGGCAGGAAGTAGGAAAGCTTGAGCAATTCTTCCTCTGCCATCAACCAACCCTTCCTGTGGCCTTCCGCAAACCATTTCACTTTGAGCCTTTTTCCATTTCAGTAAAAGAAGAGATCTGAATATATTTCTAAGGTGCCTTCCAATCTAAATATTATAGAATTCCAAGCTCTACGGGTTTTTGTATTTTCAGGTAAATGTTCCCCCTACATGAGGCATTTGTACAACATGGTCATCATTGGCAAGTCTACATACCACCTACACTGTTATGTATTTAAATAAATCATTTTCAAGTTTTCTTTCTTTAAATAGAATCTCAATTTTTTTGCTGACATCTACAAAAGAAAATTTACCTCATTGCTTAAATGGAAAACCAGCTTTGGTTGGTAGAAATGGAAGTTTTTTTGCAAACACACACACACACAAACCCTGAAATAAAACAGTTATTTAACTGTAGATGTGGTTATCTGTGGAGAGATGTGGAAAATGAAGCCTTCATTCTGTTAAAAAGGGAGATAAGCAAGTGTTAGAAAAATGTTAAATACATACTAGTCCCAAACAAACTTTTTCTATGGTTTGAAACAGGACTTTTTCACTGTGCCTTCCAATGATATACAGAGCCCACATTTTAGGAAACAATGCTCATTTTTCCCTGATAAAGTTGACTCATCTTTCAGTTCTCAGATTAAATTCCTCAGAACAACCTCCCAGGCTCCCCCCCCCGCCCCCGCCTGTCCCCCACAACTAAATTGTATTCCCTTAGGCTACTTCTTCATAGTACTCATCACAATACCGTATGTTATGGTGCATTTATGTTGTCAGTCTCTTCTTAACTAGGCCATAAATTCTGGTTACACTTTGTAACCGGACAACCAAGGGGTCTGGGCTGCCTGTCACTACTCCAGCCAATTAAGCAGAGACAGTGTTGAATCATATATTGTTGTGGACCAACATTCGCGAGAATAAGACCACCAACTCCAATTAGGTCTTAAACAGCAAGCGAGGATTTATTGAACTGGCCAGTGACTGCCACAGGCTTTCCCCTGTAACAGCCCGGAGCTTTGGGTTCCTCGAGCTTTTATCCCCAGAAAACACAAACGTCCTTGATTTACAGTTACAAGGGTCTAATCAGGACCTCGACGCCGATGTCTGGGAGTGGGAGACTTGGAGTTATGCCTGGGTACCTATCCTTGACCCCATCCTTGTTAAAATTTTTTACTGACATTCAATTCATCACAGTATGAGCATTTATTCCAATAATGCCAGCAGTATGGGAGAGCAGTAGGTCAGCCACAAAAATCTGCTCTGCACCCCACCATAAGGCAACTGCTTATATTGGGTAGAAGGACAAGATTACGTGGAGAAGTAGGAATTACAGGTATGGGAAAATGAGCATGGGACAATCATTACAGGTTACAAGTCATGTAGGCTGGGGAGGAGGGGGGAGGGGCAGAGTTACGGAAAGCGGCGCCAGCCAGATTACAGGTAGTAGGGGCAGGGGGTTGTAAAGAGCAGGTGCCTCCAGGACTACGTGCCACGAGGTTGTAAATCTTTCCATAATGATAGGCAGTTCTTCGAAGGAGGACAAACTGCATTCCGATGTTAGCTCCCATGTCCCAGGGCGTACAATTCTCAGCGAGGTTAGACTGTGCTTTGTCTAATCAGAAAAGAACAATCACGGTTAACAGAGCATGATTAATATTTCTTATAGTTATAGTCAATTTCTAATATTCTATTTCTGCCCCTAACAACTTCAGTATCCCAGATGTTGACACATAATGGGCTCCCAGGGAATACAAATGAGGTGAAGAAATCAAGCCTCCACAATCCTAAAGCGCTGGCAGGCTTAGCCCCGCCTCCTCCCTCAGTTGGCGAGGAATTAGCCCCGCCCTCTTTCTCTACCAATGACAGGTGCCTTCTGAGCCGCGGCCGAGGGCGGTGGGCGGGGCCACGCAATGACGCTGGCCGCGCGTTTCCGGCTTGAGAAACCTTGATGTTTCTGAGGAGACACCTCAACTGGTAGTAACCACGCACGAGAAGCCTCCGGATCCGCCGCTTCCATCGCCGGCGTCACCATGGGAGCTGTGCTGGGCGTCTGCTCCCTGGCCAGCTGGGTGAGTTCCTGGGCTAGTGTCTCGGTCTGACCTGTGGTTTGGACGAGGGGGGGCGATAGTGAGCCCCGAGAGCAGACCCGAACGGGCCTCGGCTGCAGACGCCCGGTAATTGGAGGGACCGTCCCTGAGCTGCGGAGAGTATCCAGGAGTCCAGGCCAAAATCCGCGATCGGGAGCAGACGGCTCACTTTTCCGCGTTTGATGAGCGTAGGAGGCCAGGCCGCCATTGTTTACAATTTCCGTTGCCCCGCCCCCAGGAGCCTTCCGGCCTCTGGGTTCAGCAGCCGCTGGAATAGGACCGAGGAATGAGCTCCCAATGCGGGAGCTCTCGGGTTCATTTCGAAGCGCCTTCTTAAGGTGGCGCCATTAAATTTGCGTGGTTTGAATACTATTTTTATCCTGTAGCGCGGGATTTGCCAAAGCTACAGAGTATGTGGCAGAGCTGTGGGTTTAACCGAGGCCTGTGCAGTTCTGGTGCAAGGGGAAGAAGGCCTTGTAATTATTATTCAAAATTGGAAGCCACCGTCTGAACTTTGGGACCTTGTATCGTAAGACGAGGATAATAACGCCAGCATCCCTCGCCTGGAAAGCTGTTGTGGGATAATACAGTTGAATTGTAGACTGTAAACTCCATATTTTAAAAAGGGAATTTTAGGACCTATAGAATAGAATATGCGGAGTTCCCTCGTATACTCACTTCAGAGGACTGTCTGGGCTCATTACACTACCATTTCTTAGGGCCACCTCCGCTCCCTCTCCCTCCCGTCCCCATGTTGAGTGTGGACCTATGAACCAGGAGATCACGGTTTGATACCGGGTTGCGGGTTCGATCCCCAGGAGGCAGTGATGATTCTCTCTCATCATTGATGTTTCTATCTCTCACTCCCTCCCCCTTCCTCTCTGAAATAAATAAAAATATATTTTTAAAAAGATTGTGGATCTTAAAAAGGGTAGGTTCCTTGTGAGAGCAGTGGCTTTCCAATTTTTTTTTATTTTGACCCAAAGTAAATAAATTTTACATAGTTGAGTTAATACATCCATGTAGACACAAGTTTCATGAAATCTTACCTTTACCATCTGCTGTACAATTTTTCTACCACATTAAAAAAATTCTGGTCAGTTGATTTTTATAATCCACACGTGGGTTAAACTCACTATTTATAAAATAGGGGAGTAAAAACTTTTCTTCCACCCTTGGTTGGTAGGTAAGGACCTGTGACAAAAAAACAGATTAGCAAGAGAAAGAAAGTTTATCTATGCGTGCAAAACAAACATTCACACACAGTTGCTCAGTGATGAACTCAAATTACTGCGTCTTATGGTAATTCTATGTTTAACTTTTTGAGGAATCTCCAGGTTACTATTTATTTATGTATTTAATTATTTTTATTGATTTTAGAGAGAGGAAGGGAGGGAGAGAGAAAAAAAAACATCGATATAAGAGAGAAACATCTATCAGTTGCCTCCCATACGCAAACTGACTGGGAATTGAACCCACTAACTTTTGGTGTTCTGGGCCACACTGACCAGGGCTCCAGGTTACTCTTGAATAGAGCATAATGGCTCTTGCTATCATCTATAATAATAAAAGCGTAATATGCTAATTTGACTGGATGTCCTTCCCGGACGAAGTCAGGCTGCGAGGGCAGCCCGGGTCCCGTGTGCCAGAGGGAAGCCGGTGCCGACAGGCGGGGGAAGGAAGGCCTACTCTTGCATGAATTTCGTGCATTGGGCCTCTAGTTATTCATAAGGGTTTCCATATAATGTTGCTTGTAATATCAAATTTGGTAACGAGGGTTCTTGGTAAATAGCAAGTGCAGTTAGGTTTATATTTTTCTCATTAAGATACGTTGTTTTTAAAGATAATATGATACCTGTGTGAATATAAATAAAATTTATTGGGCTCTTACTATGTTTTAGGTACTGTGTTGAGTGCTTATTTAATACAGTAATGTCTGAGGGAGGAAGATTCTGTTAGAGTCTATGTTACAGATGGAGAAAAAGGTTTGCTGAGATAAAGTGGCAGAAATAACATTGACTTCAGAGCCCATGCTTTTAACCACTTCCTCCTAGTTGTAATTCTCTGTTAGAACTGTCAGAGTCTGGCTTGCTTCGTTTTCTATTCTGCGATACCTATGTCAGGAAGTCAGGAAGGAGTCCACTGAAAGCTCTCAGACAGCCATATGTGCTTATTACAGGTTCCATGCCTTTGTGGTGGTGCATCGTGTTTGCTATGCGGTTGCTGTCCCAACAGTAAGAATTCCACTGTGACTCGCCTCATTTATGCTTCTATTCTCATCCTGGGCACTATTGTATCCTGCATCATGCAAACGGAAGGGGTAAAAAATCAGCTGAAGAAGGTTAGTAGAAGTAACAGAACCCTTAATGTACTGATTATTTTTATATTCTGCAAAATTTTAGTTGACATTAATATTCTTATTTCTTCACTTACGAAAGTCAATCAAATTCATTGTAATTTGGGATATAGTAAAGATACAGAATATGAAGGGATTAGTCCTTTCCCAGAAATAAAGGAAGTTTAAGTGAACATCTTCAGGTTCTAGTCTAACAACCGAGAGAGGCAACAGATATTAAAAGGGTGGCCCTAAAACTTAAACATTTAAACTGATCCAGGCCTTTGAAAGGAGTGAGTTGTAGCATGAAAATTCCTGGGATAATGGGAGATAACCTCATCATTAGAGAAGCGCAAAGAAGAGAGCACTGCACTTTTATTTCCAAAATGCAAATTGTTTATACTCTCTGGTGACAAGATGGTAAATGATTGGAAGACATAGAGAATAATCCCACAGGATGGTCTTGCAGTTGTTGAAGTAGTCAGTTTCGTAAATCCAGGCTTTCCTATGGTGGGGTGGAATCTCTGTTTAAATGTGGGTGTTCCCATAACATTGACATTATTTTTTCCAGATTCCTGGATTCTGTGAAGGGGGATTTAAAATCAAGGTGGCCGATATAAAGGCTGATACAGATTGTAATGTGCAGGTCGGTTTCAAAGCTGTATATCGGATCAGCTTTGCCTTGGCCATCTTTTTCTTTGCCTTTTGTCTACTCATGTTAAAAGTAAAAACAAGTAAAGATCCCAGAGCAGCAATACACAATGGGTATGTAAGATTTATTTATTATTACTTTGTTATATTATGGTGTGGACCTTCGCATTCAGCAGTTAATGTTGCCATTCTGATGGGAGCAGTAGAGTATGTAAATCAGTGGCCCAGATGTATGTCTGACCTATTGTACATGTGAAATTGTTTCAGTGTCATTTTCAATTGGAGACCTGTAGTATTGGAGGAGGTAGAGGGGATGAGGAGAGTCTTATCTTTTTTTTTTAAAAATATGTTTTTATTGATTTCAGATATGGGAAGGGAGAGAGGGAGAGAGAGAGAAACATCAACGATGAGAGAGAATCATTGATCGGCTGCCTTTCTGCAGACCCCTTACTGAGAATTGAACCTGCAAGCCCAGCATGTGCCCTGACCAGGAATCAAACTGTGACCTCCTGGTTCATGGGTTGGTGCTCAACCATTGAGCCAAACCGGCTGGCTTATCTTTTTTTTTTTTTAATTAAATCTTTATTGTTGAAGTATTACATGTGTCCCCCTTCCCCCCCCACTGATTGACTCCTTCTGTCCCACCTCTGTCCCCCGCCCCAGGCCTATTGTTTCAAGTTTCTAGATTTTATTGAACACCTGTGAAATAGTTCAAGCACTGTGCTAGGTACCACATAAACAAAGGTATTTATTTATTTTCCTTTCTATTGTTAAAAGATAAGATGTGCATGTTATATTTAAACTAGAGGCCCAGTGCACGGAATTCGTGCACTAGTAGGGTCCCTAGTGGCTGCTGGCCAGGTACTCCCTCCCTTCCCCCCCGGCCGCCTGCCGCCACCGGCCAAGGCCTCCCTCCCTTCCCCCGGCCGGCCAGGCGCCCCCTGGTCAAACTCCCGGAAGAACTCTGGTCAGGGGACAATTTGCATACTATGCTTTTATTATATAGGATAGTATTCAGAAAGATAAACAGTGGATATATTTGAGCTACTGATTTACTTACTCTGTTTCTTTCTGTTCCTGGCCCCTAGTTCCCCTAATTCTCGTTTGAAGAGTAAAGGGAGTTTTGTAAACTTTATAAGTAAATTATCTCCTTTTTATAGATGCAATAACTAAATTTGAGAGAGGTTATATAAATTGCTTGAGATCTCAGCCAATGAGGGTTGGAGCTGAGATTGAAACTCAGGTCTGTCCAGCTCCAAAGTCTGATTTTTTTCACTCTGCCATACAGAGAGTCTTTAAAGATCATGGACGAAAAGCCAGGTTTGGTCTTGGCTTTGCCAGTGACGAGCTGTGTAATTGTGAGCAAGGCCCTTATATCCTATGTTGTAAAAGAAGGACTGGGAAGTAACTTTTCCCCACACCGAATAGTTAATTGCCCTATATTCAGCTAACATTGTTTATCTAGAACACTTCAGAATTCTAGAAAAAGTCCTATCTTTAAGTGCTAAAAGTAGGGAAACTAAGGATACATGTTCCTCTTAATGTGAATGATCTGTTCCCTGTGCTGTTTATTCTTAAATTGTGTGACGTACTGAATGAAGTAGCCTCATATCAAATGAAGATCTAAGTTAAGTCATGTTGGAAATGCTACTAAGGCTTTATTTTTGCATTTTAGAAATTCATTTTCTCACTATTAGGGTGAAAATTAGCATTTCATAAATGCGTTTTTAAATATTTTAATAGGTTTTGGTTCTTCAAAATTGCTGCCATTGTTGGTATCATGGTTGGATCTTTCTACATTCCTGGGGGTTATTTCACCACAGGTATGACTCACTATTTAATTATAAGATATACAGACTCTATATGATTAAGTTAAAACTATGTTTTCAGTATTGATTTTGCAGAACTGACAAAGGAGGTAGTGTCCAATAATTTGACTTGGTACTAATATTAAGATATTAAGGCATTCAGGTCACTTCTCAGCTGTTCTGGAACCATATGTTAATTGTTTGTCAATATTTTAACAGTCTATCTTCTTACTTGACAATATTCAGTTTATCAGAGAGCTTGTCACCATAAGGACTTGTAACTCATGTGCTCTACCACCCGTCTTAGCCTCCTTCCTTACTATGGCATTGAGTAACATGTGGATTTCCACTATGATTTTTTCCTCCCTGTAAAGGGAAAAGGCTTATAGTAGCATTTGGATGTTAGATCCTAGGCTCCCTTTGGCACAAGATAAAACAAGTTTTAAAAGATCTGAAGCCCACAGAACACTTCTCAGACAATGCCTTTGATTTTGGAATTGGAGTAATCTTGCTGAACTGTTGGAGACAATATGTTTTTACCACCTATCTCTTACTTGAATTGAAATCTTTTTAGAATGTTAGCAACATTGTGAAATGTTACTTGTATGGTAAAGAATAACTTTGTTCTTTTGATTTGTAGTCTGGTTTGGTATTGGCATGCTTGGGGCCTCTATCTTCATTCTTATCCAGCTGGTGCTGTTGGTAGACATGGCTCACTCTGTGAATGAATCATGGGTAAATCGAATGGAAGAAGGAAACCCAAGGTGCTGGTATGCTGGTAAGTATCTAACTCAACTATGAGAGCCACACTGCATTATGCTACATGGAACAGGGCGAACAAGAAAAACATCCATTGATTTAAATGTACAAACTTTCAGGGTCGAGCTGACTTTAAAAACTATACTTTCCCATTGAGTTAATTCTGAATTATATGCATTACTGGAAGGGAGTAGCACAGATAATATAAATCATTGGATTCCCCCAATTCATTTATTTTGAGATTTGTAATGTAACTACATGCATTTATATAAGGGGGGAAATTGTATTTACTGACATAGTTCTGGTTTGTATTTTCTTGTTTCCCTGGACAAGGGGACTCAGATTCATTCTGCATGTGGGACATCTGCCAACATAGGCAGAAGAAAGTGAACAGTACTTACTGCTTTATTCAGAGTATGACCCCACACCTCTTATAAAATCCTTTTGGTGGAAAAAGGGTACTTAAAATTTTTAAATTGGGAACATAATTTATAGCCTGTAATAAGGGGAGGGACTTTGGAGCCCTTCACTTATTAGGAACAATGACCCAGCTGTATTTTAGTTTTAAAAATAATGGTTGAGATTGCTTGCCCTGACTCCCCCTCACCCCCCCCCCCCATTATAAAATAATAGATGCTGTGTGTCAAGAACTTGAAAATCAAAAATCACAAAAAAGAAAATTACCCAAAATCTAAGTCCCCAGTAATTATTATTCACTGTTAACATATTAGTCTACATGTATATCTTCTATGTATAGGAAAAAGTCATTGAAAAATATGTTTGTGTCTTATTTATTTTTTAAATGTAATATATATTCAAATAGTTTATAGTTTGACCATTTTAAAAACTTGGAAATAAGCTTGCTGTGAATGACCCATGTCCCACGTGGTTCAGGGTTCAGGATCTAGAGAAGGGGCCGCACACAAATGAAAAAGACAAGATAAGAAATGATAATTTGGAAATTGGAGGGCCAGGTGAGAGCCCAATGCAAGAAGATGGACTCTGCCTCTGCTCAGGCCTCGCCATCCTTTTATTCAGTTTGGGACACACCTATAGCCCTTAGGCCAGCAAGTTCCAGTAACAGACAGACTATCTTATCAGTAAGGATTTACCACGACTATCTGGTGGGGAAGTTGCTTCAGCTACCATTGTCTCAACTAAACAGTGGGTACATAGCTCTGACTTTTGCCAGGGCTCAAGGGTCATCAGCATTCTGGGCTCCTTGTCCACACCTCTCAGCTAGAGAAGATAATAGGTGGTTTCCCACAGCTTGTGAATAAGTTTGGCTACAGTACAGCAATAAATACCTAATAACATATTTCTGAGTACATTTCTGATTATTTCCTTAGAATAAATTCCCAGAAGTAGAAGAGTGAAAGGGTTTGGATATTTTTAATATTTTTAGCACATGTTATCAAATTGTCTAGTTTTCTTTTCATCTTATATAGTTAGGATGCTTCTTTTTAAATTGAAAAAGAAAAAAATAGTACCATTTTTACTATAAACACAAATGGTAGACTTTTATAAAGAATAAAACATGCAACTCTACCAACTTGCAACAACCCACTTTCCTCTCCAGATGTAACCACTGGAAGGGAGTCGCACAGATAATATAAACAGCACCAACTGGATAAGAATAAATTCAGTTATGTTTAAATGTAAATAGGTTTATACTATATATTGTTCTATGACTTTTTTCTTTTTTTTTAAATTTTGGTAACCTTTAATACAGAAAGTTTCTCTTTTTATTTTTTAAATATATTTATTGATTTCAGAGAGGAAGGGAGAGGGAGAGAGAGAAACATCAATAATGAGAGAGAATCATTGATCGGCTGCCTCCTGCACATCCCCTACTGGGGACTGAGCCTGCAACCCAGGCATGTGCCCTTGGGCGGAATCGAACCGGGGACCTTTTAGTCCGCAGGCCGACGCTCTATCCACTGAACCAAACTGACTAGGGCTGCTCTTTTCACTTACTGTATGATGAATATTCTTTCCTATCAGTGAACATAGAGGTATGTCTTACTCATTTAACAGTTGCATGGTATTTCAATCCATACAATTCCTGATGTTCCATGGCATGGTATACCATAATTCATTTAACCATTGCCCTGTTATTGGTCACTTAAACTGTAATGTCTATTTATTGCAGAAAAATATTTTTTTAAATTGTCTATCATTATGGATTGGGAATCCTGAAACTTTTCCTTCTTCCTGACTAATAAAATTTCTTTCTTTTTTCTTTTCTTTTTTTTTTTTTTAACCTATTTACTTCTGTTTTGTATAATTCATTTTGGATCACTCCAACTATAGGAGAGTTTAATAATGAATTGTAGATTTGCCCTACTTTGGAGAAACTAAAAGTAGAGAAATCTTGTATGTTCAGATAGAAAAGCATTAAGAACTCTGCTAGTAACCTAATGTACATCATTATTTTATAGTAACACTAGAGGCCCAGTGTACGAAATTCATGCACTTGGGGATGGGGGGTGTCCCTCAGCCCGGCCTGTGCCCTCTCATAGTCCAGGAGCCCTGCGATCAATTGCCCCAAAGAGGTAGGCCCCACCCACCCAGCCAGGGCTCCGAGATGGATTGCCCCACAGAGGGAGGCCCCGCGCACCTGCCGCAGCCCACTGGTCGGTGGCCTGGGCCTCCCTCTGTGGGGCGATCATGGAGCCCCCCCAATTGATCGATCATCCCGCTGATGTGGTCATGTTGTGATAGGAAACAGGTTTATGTAGCCAGTGGCTACAGAGGAGAAACTACTACAAAAGATGCCTGTCCTGTTTAGTGCTAACACTATCCCTGGCACTGAGCTTGCTGTGAACTGGGACATTTTGAAGGCTAAGAGATCTTTTAGGTTCCTAAGAAAAGCTTATAATGAACAATATTTTGTATTTAGTTAGAATTTACTCTGGTTAGAATGATCAGATGTCTGGTTTTTCAACCTATGAACTCAAGTTAGGTAATCCAGGAAGTGAATTCAGTTGTTTGGTGGATTTTGTAATTTAACATTGAGCCAACTCGAACACAATCTGAAACTTCAACCTTAGGGCTTCTGTCAATTCACTGTAAATTAGTAACCATCATAAAAGTGAAATAATGTCTCTCTATTTTTATACGGAGAAGAAAATTGGTCTTCATTTATAAAAGTTTGTTAAGATTGGGGGTATTCATATTGTTGTTTTTTTTTCTTTTCAGTTTTACTATCTGTCACAAGCATCCTGTATATCTCTTCAATCCTCTTTGTCAGTTTACTCTACATATACTACACCAAACCAGATGGCTGCACAGAGAACAAGTTCTTTATCAGTATTAATCTGATCCTTTGTGTTGTGGTTTCTATTATATCCATTCATCCAAAAATTCAGGTATGATGGTTTTCTGCTTCTTCCTCCTGTGGGATTTTTAATTAATGCTAAACTTGAAACTTAGGTAACCTCCTATATGAATTTATGTCCAAGTTAAACATTTCTCCATATTATGATAAAGTCTTCATAATTAGAACTTAGTAATTATAAAATGTGCCATTGAGTTGCCTGTAGTATAATTAAATGAATAATTTTCTTATCATTTAAGAAAACCTAAGCAACTTGAGAATTTATAATTTCATAAGATTGTTTACAACTTGAGAATGATTCTTATGAATCATTAGCCAAGATATTTTAGGGGGATTAAACTAGAAAAAAGAATTGATTTTTAATACTTAAAAACAAAACTCATGCGCCTAAGTTTTATCACTTAAATAACATACTTTTAAAAATTAATGGAGTTTTATATATGAAACTAGAGGCCCGGTGCACGACATTCGTGCACTGGCGG